GCTGTTGAGTAGTTGCTAAAAATGCTCAGCCCATTTTTTACGGTACTACTTTCTATCCAGCAGTGCGACAACTTTAGTATCTTGAAAAATGACGGATCAAGTTTTCAGCTTGCCATACAGGTATAGTACATTTTGGAACACTGTTTCCTCGTTTAGCCTTTCTGGCTGCTCTGTCGATCTTGCCTATCTCATTTTCCAACCAAAGTTCCCTGCTCGTTTGCATCTCTGGTTGACTGCACGAACGACATGACGACTGGACGCCTTCGAAGGTACAGTAGGATATTGCAAGTACTCCTTTTTAGTCTGGTATATCTACTGTCCGAGGCTTAGATGTTTCCCGTGACTGCAGTTTGACTATCCTTTTCTTGACCGTTACTACGTATTCACCAAAGAAATGGCACAATCTCTGAGGCTTCATAAGATTCATCCGCATTGCTACTCCTCGACTCAGCACTGAGGGTAGTGATAAATGACACTTTGTCATATTGTGGCGTATCACCGTCTAGAAGCTGGTGTGTTTCAAGCAGACGACGTCGATGTGACAACGTTGCTTTCAGACAAAGCTTCATACGACCGGATGGCGATCGGGCCCAACGTGGGTTTTTAACGCCCGACCTATGTCCCGAGTGACCAGCTGGCCATTTCTGGCTGACGAGAACGCAGCCCACTTGCGACAATAGGCTTTCGTCAGGGGATGTCCAAGCAGTCAGGTGACATGGTGTGGTTTAGTGTAGTATGCATAGTACTGTACACTGTGCAAATCTGCTGTATATCACGTCGCTGTTCGTCTTCCGAGAACGCTGATTTCTGTGAACAACAGACAGCAGCAAATTATATCAGAAATATTTCCGCCGAGTACATCAAAGAACGAGACTGAAACATTTCCAGGCTTATTGAACTTCATCCTGATTCAGACACCAGAATCCCGTTCAGGGTCATCGTCTCACGACGAGGCTAGCTCGTCGACGAGTACACGACGAAGCTGAGCCGGTTTTGCGAAACTCCAGATACACGGTTCTGAGAGAAATAAGGGCTGGACAACTGTCAGAATTCTGACTTCTGCAGGTAATGAATCTTAGAAATTCCGTAAGTCGTACTAGTGGCTCGATACAACCGCTGACGCAGTTCAGTACTTCAACTGCATTTGTATTAAAACATAATTCGTCGTTTATGCGAGAGCAGTGAACAACTCACACATTCAACTCACCTGCCAGATCATTGACCAAAAATCAGCGATCGTATTGCCTGTTGGGGCTTGCGTCAATATCAACTTGGTTTTGCAGCCAGGAAAATGAACCCAGTTGGCATGGATGTAGTCATTGTCAGCGGCCTGAAGACGAACTCTGGTTCGATCCAAGCAGGGAACATTTCGAAAGCGGTTTTTTTCCAACATTGGGTCATTGTAGAAGCGCTGAGCTTCTGATTTTGACACCTTAGTTGGCAACGCATTGAATTCAGCGTCGAAACGATTCCTCAGCTCCTCAGCGCTGGAGGCTGCCAGTGCTTGCAGCCAGTCAGTAATCATCTCTGAAAACGAAGCGCTTGACCTTACTTTCATGGTGCGGCTGACAACTTCGGTGACTGACGGTATGCAAGGTGACGTGTCTTTCGGCGAGCGACTACGGGAAAGTCTTCG